TATCCATTTGTACTTTGTACTTGATATGCTCAATCAAGTACATGAACTTTGTATTTTTAACATAGCAAATGTACTTAATCTATTTTAAAAGAGCAAGTTCATGTACTTTGCGGTTTCAAACGTAAGATGGAGTACTACTTACTCCACTTGAAACAAGTTCGTGTACTATTTTGACCATTTTCTCATTTCCCTTCAACCACCTAAACTATGAATAAATAATGAAAATTAAATCTCTGTCATCCATCACAAAATCAGCCAAATGAATTTAAGGGAACGAAGCTATTCAATGTTGTTGGATATGATGCTGGGAGTGTAATTTGAACAATTGTGCTTGTTGTACACACTAGCACACGTGTTTGTTTGTCTATAGCTCATTCAGAAACAAAACATATTTTATTTAGTCAGTGCATAAGAAAAGTAACATGTAGTAAAGATATTTTTACTTGGACTTAAGCTTGGACTCGGTTCGGGCCACCCGGCCCGTGACCCGGCCCGGCCCGCTACTGTGCAGGCCCGGGAATGGCCCGGTCTGGTGGTTCGGGACCGGGTGTGGACCCGAACCGGTGGGGGAAGCGGGGGCGGGCTCGGTTCATGCAAAATGTGACCAGGCCCGGCCGGGTCGGGCCCGCGTCCGGGTCACAACGACTATAATTTAAAAAAAAAAGAAAATCTTTTGGGCCAAAGATGACTGTTGAGGTGGGTTGGGGACAACACAAACGGCTATATAGCCGTTGGGTGGGCTGCAAGGGGGTCCGGGGGTTTGGGGGTGGGGGTGGGGGTGGGGTAAAAAAACTTATAAATACTCCTAATCTAAAACATTTTTCCATATCTCTTCTCCAATTCTTCCTAAATCCTACTCTTAACTCTCTACTCTCTAATTCTCTTATTCTCCAATATATTATATTTATATATCTACTTTATATTAAATATCTACTTATAATTTATAAATACATACATTATATTACTTATATTTCTTATCTAATTATTTATTACTTATACATTTATTATATCTATTAATATAGTTGGAATTATATCTAATTAATTTGAAGTCATTCTATTACTCACATCCGAAAGTCCGAAAGTCCGAAAGAGGTACGAAATCATTCTATTATTTACACTTGTTTAATTTTTTATTAACATTACTTGAAAAAAAACTAGTTAATTCTCATAATAGTTAAAGTTAAACTATAATAATTTGATTGTTAGTAAAAAAAAATAGGTAGTACAAAAAACTAGTTGATTAGTTAATTAGTTTTCATTATAGTTAAAGTTAAAGTATATTAATTTCATTGTTAGTTTTCATTATTTTTCATTATAGTTTAAAAAAAAAGGTTGTACACAAAACTAGTTAATTCACTAGTTAATTTGATTAAAGTAAACTTTAAAATATTAATTTGCTATAACTCGAATTAATAGTTAGATTAATAGTTAATTACTTTATTACAATTTTTTATTAATTGCTACCTTTGACTCTAGTTTAAAAAACTAGTTAATTCTCATTATAGTTAAAGTTAAAGTATATTAATTTCATTGTTAGTAAAAAAATAGATTGTACACAAAACTAGTTAATTCACTAGTTAATTTGATTAAAGTAAAGTTTAAAATACTAATTTGCTATAACTCGAATTAATAGTTAGATTAATAGTTAATTACTTTATTACAATTTTTTATTAATATATTTTTATTAATATATTTGTTGCAATTTAATATATGTTACATTTTTTAGATGGATCGGCCTAGATATTCGGTTGATATGGGTAACCTCGAGCGCAACCGAATGAAAGAGCTTGCGAGGAAGAGATCCCGCAAAGGTAAATCACATATCGGCTCTTCATCTCAAAGTTGAGATGATTTTGATACTGGTTACGCAAGGAGTGATGGGGATGCGATGACCGACGAACAACTAGAACAAGAATTGCACCGACATAATTCTCGCTTTTTTCAAGACCAACCGAGGAACATTGACGAAGAAGAGCTCGAGGACGATGATGTAGAGGAAGTAATTCCGGAGAGCCACGACGACGACGAGGAGGGTGGCGGCAGCCACGACGCCGATGAGCCTGCCTCATCCCAAACCGGTACGAAAAAAAGTAAATCTGAACTAATGGCTAATAATTTTTCTAAGTGGAAGGACCCGAACACCGGGAATTGGACCGCAACTTGCAATTGGTGCAAGAAAAACTATAGCTTGGGGATTTCCGGCGGATACGGATCCGCCACAAGACATCTTAAGTCCAAACACCCGGTGGAGTATGCAAAATTAGGTGGCGGAACGGGGAAGCAAACTCAAATATGGAGGTTTGCAAATAACCAACAAGCTTTTGGTAATTTCTTATACGATGATGCACAAAATTTGACTGGTATGGCTAACTTACTTGTTGAAGAAAATTTGCCTTGTTTGTTTTCTGAAAGTCTTGCTTTTCGTGATTATGCACAAACTTGTTTAAATCCGCAATATAGAGGTTATAGTCGCAAAACGGTTAAGAAAGAAATTTCAAGGCTTTATGGTACGGAAAAGGTAAGGTTACAAAATTATTTTGCAAACTTTGATGGGCGTGTTACTGTATGTTCTAACATATGGGAGGATACTTATCATAATAATCGACTGAGATCGACACATGTGAAAAAATTTGTAATGCTTTGATATATTTTAATAATGCAACTGAAACTTTTAGTCATGTTTATAAACCTACCTCAAACCAATTTATTCGTGAAACTGTTAATCTGGCCGGTGCTTTTTCAAATTTTGAGAATGCTGATTATGTGAGTTATTTTGCTAGTTTTATGAAGGAAAAGTTTTTAAAATATTATTCACATATTCCGCATATTTATGGTATTGCATTTGTTCTCGATCCTCGTTTTAGACTTGGTTCTTTAGAGGAATGTTTAAATTATTATTATGCTGCTTTTTTGGTCCAATGCCAATGTATAAGGACAACCCAATTGATTTGAAAAAAGAATACAGCGAGGTTAGTGATATATTTTATGCATTATTTAATGACTTTCATGCACAATATGGCAATGCGCCCCCTCCCCCGACACAAACATCATCTAAAGAAAAATCAATTTTCAAATCTACATTTGCCAATCTTATAAAAAAACGAAATCAACTCCCGCTACGCAACAAAGCACAATTAATGAGATTTCTTTGTATTTAACGTATGATGTTGATTTTGAAGAAGATGATGATTTTGACGTACTAAACTGGTGGAAGGGAAAAGAAAGAAAGTTCCCGGTTTTAGCAAAGATGGCTAAGCAAGTGCTATCAATGCCGGATTCAACAGTTGCCGTGGAACAAGAATTTAGTTCGGCCGGCAATGTCCTAACGCAATGTAGAATGAGGTTGAGCGCAGAATCTCTTAAGATGCTTATATGCTACCACGATTGGTTGAAAGCGGCCCGTAGAGCACAAGAAATTGACATCACCCCATCCCAACACTTTATGGATGAATCTATAACCGAGGGTGGCTCTACCTAGGCTTGGACTCGGGTCGGGCCACTCGGCCCGTGGACCGGCCCGGCCCGCTACTGTGCGGGACCGGGACCGGCCCGGTTCTCGGGTCCGGGTCCGGGTCGGGCCTAGGCCCGGGGGGTAGGGCGGGTCCGGGCTCGGGTCTGAATTTTGGTGAACCGGCCCGGCCGGGTCGGGCCCGGGCCGGGCCAAATTGATTTTTTTTTTTTTTTTTTTTTCATTTTTGGGCTTCCACCCGGGTTGGGCTTGATGGGTAGGATGGGTTTGGGGGGGTTTGGGAGGGTGGGGGTGAGAGGGGGGGGGGCTAGGAAAGCAAAAAAAAAAAAACCAAACCGGAGGCCCGGCCCGGACCCGAGTCCACCCCTAGCTCTACCTATGTCAGAGATTCTGATTGATTAGTATTTCACTATTTCATGTAGGGATGGATTCGGTTCGGGCCACCCGGCCCGTGACCCGGCCCGGCCCGGCCCGGTACTGTGCGGGCCCGGGACCGGCCCGGTCGGGCGGTCCGGGACCTGGGTCTGGGCCCGAACCGGGGGGAAGGGGCGGGGCGGGCTCGGTTCAGCATTTTTGTGACCCGGCACGGCCGGGTCGGGCCCGGGTCCGGTTCGATCAATTTTTTAAAAAAAAAAGTTTTTTTGGGTTGGGCTCCTACTAGCCGTTGGGGGTGGGGCTGGGGACAACCCAAACGGCTATATAGCCGTTGGGTGGGTTATAGGGGGGGTCCGGGGGGGTTGGGTGGGGGGGGTGGTGGGGGGTGGGGGGTAAAAAAAACCTATAAATATCCTAATCTTAAACATTTTTTCATATCTCTTCTCCAATTCTTCCTAAATCCTATTCTTAACTCTCTACTCTCTAATTCTCTTATTCTCCATTCTCCAAACCAGAACGAGGTTGAGCGCTGAATCTCTTGAGATGCTTATATGCTACCACGATTGGTTGAAAGCAGCACGTAGAGCTCAAGAAATTGACATCACTCCATCACAACACTTTATGGATGAACCTACAGAGGGTGGTTCTACTTATGCCGGAGATTCCGATTAAAAACAATTATAGTTCCTATTTAATTTTCAAATGTAGTTCCTATTTCATTTCAAATAAATGCACTTGAAGTTTGTTTTTTAATACTTGTATAAAACTATAAAGTATAAAATATAAATTTAAAAAAAAAAATTATCCGGCCCGACCCGGCCCGGCCCGGCCCGGCGGGTGGCCCGACCCGTGACCCGGGCGGGTGGCCCGGCCCGAACCGGACCCGTCCAACCCTCGGGCCAGTCCCGGGCCCACTATTCTAGAACCGGCGGCCCGACCGGGCCTAGGCCCGGCCCGGGCCCGGGCCCGACCCGGCCCGAATCCACCCCTAATTTCATGTTTTAATTTTACAAAATGTATTTCATATTGTAAAATAACATTGTTGTGTCATGTGTATTGATGTGTATAAAAGGATGTACAAATAGATTTTCTAATTTGAAAGGGTAGAAGATAAAAAAGAGAGTAGAAGAACTGAAGAAGAGTAGCACGAGAAAAACAGTAATAATAACATGGAGTATAATGATCATATAATGCTACAAGACTTCGCTGGTTTACATTGCACAAAAAGAAACCGGTAGGGAAACAGCAAGCGTAAAAGATGAGCGACATATTTTAAATGGTCAAGAACTAATGCGGCTAAATGAGATTAATCCCAAACAAGAACCAAATAACAATGAACTACAGCCACATGGTTATGCGCGAGAAGTTTCTACACAAACAAACTAATGCTGAATTTTAAAAATGAAAAATGAAAAATGAAAAAAAACTCAATGGCTCTCCCTCTTACATTCCTCCACCGCTGCTGCGCATCTCTTCAGCTCCATGTGCGAAGTGGCACCGATCACCAAAAGTGCACGACCCTTTCATGAAGTTGTCACACATCTTTGTCTTGAAGTTGTTTGCGGGAGCAGAGCGTGGTCCCCCTTTCATGGACTTGGCAGCATTTGAAGTAACGGATGCAATAAGTTCACGAACCATTTCGCTGGCTTGTTGAATCTGCTCAATGGTACCTTCAAGTTCAATATTCTTCAAATTGGGATCACCTTCATGTTCTCTTATAGAGAGCTTGGCTCCAGTCACACGGCATATCTGCTTCGAGTTAACACCACCTTTCCCAATGATGGCTCCGGACAAAGACCCATCAATGCTGATCTTAGCTGTGGCAGATGACCCAAAGCTGGCTGCTGCTCCTCCAAACCCACCTGATTGATAAGGCTCAGGTCTACCAAACCTAGGGTGTCCCATACCACCACGAGGGTCCTCATGGTGGGAATGATGAACTGGGGGTGCTGGCCTGCCAAGCTCCCACTCACCGTGTGCAAAGTGGCATTTTTCACCATATTTGCAACCCTCGGCAGTGTTGTATTTGGTGCATAAACGCGTCTTCACTGCTGTTGGGGGCTGAGTCTCTGGGAAAGGCGGAGGTGGCATAGGCATGGGGTTTCTAGCAGGTACTGGGAGCGCAGGGTTATTGCCAAGCATCTGGGTAACAGCTTTCAGCCCACCAGGAACATAATGCAAAAAGTGGCAGCTCTCTCCAAATTGGCATCCTGTCGTACTGCACATTAATAAATATTGGTGTGAAATTGTGATTCATAAGAAGGAACAATAACAAAAAACTGAGCTGCATTCATTTCTTTCTGCAAATGAGAATGAAGAGAGCTATAGACATTTTGATAAACAATCAGTACATTATTTGGTCAAGATGGAAACACCATTCAAGAGTGATGAAGGAACCATACATACTAAGGGCTGGATTTTGAGAGTATGCTGCCACCAATTCAGGAATAATATTATTAAAAACCTCTCCACAATTTTTACTACATGTCCGTATACAAATCGTAAAGTAGTACCCAAAGCAACGTCTTTAATGATCACTCCAAGCTCTACACGAGTCAGCACAACAATACAAACACAACTCATAGAAGCATTCTCACACTATGAGATAAAGATTAGGCTCTCCTACTATCAATCATATTACCTTAATGATTTGTGTAACTCCACAGTTTCTAACAATGTTTTGGCTATATTACAACTCCAATTTTCTTGTATGGATCATCAGATCATTCTAAAGCCAGCAGTACAAAAGGAATAAAGATGCATTTACTATGATTTGGTGCACATACAGAATTACTGAAAGCTGCCACACAGTGTCAATCTTTCCGAAGTTATAAACATGATGATCATTGGTCTTGGTCAAGATAAGATGAATGGTTTATTATCGATGTGAAAAAGAATGAGAAAGCAATTAAGTAGCTAATAAATAACGCCCTACGGTTCTTTGGAAGATGAAAAGCACAGATCAAATGACATGATACCAATAATCTAAATACGGGATGGTGCCAAAAAATAAAAGCTCCTATCAAAAGTCAAACGGAAATGTTTGCAAAAAATGAATCAATTTCCACTACTGCCATCATCACCACCAAGTTCCATTTGGTGCAAGAGGAACAAATGTTCAAACACAGAGGAGCCACTAAGACACGTATGTACTTCAAGGACATCCATCACTGATCACACCCATTGTCTTTTTCAGATCTGCAGATAGTAGAGCTTTAATATTTTGAAAAATCAAAACTTCTACTGTATCTATCAATAAAAATTGAGGCCCAGCTCCTGCTCAGAGATGCCCATACATTTTCTCCAGAAGTTGTAGTTATAAATCCACATGCGTTGCTTAGAGAGGGTTTCCTTTCCACATATAGTTATAAAAGAAGCTAAAGGATATAGTTAGTGAGGCTTTCCTTTCCATATCATCATTCTACCACTCTTCCCAGAATTGAACAAGAATGGACTAATTCCAAAAAGTAATACTGGCACAATCAGCAATCCATTGTCCTAAAAAGCAAAGCCCATAAGATACATTCTCAATGTCCCTTTTGAAGCTTTATATCTCTATTCTTTCCTTTGCTGTTGATCCAAATATTATATTCTCTTTTCTTTTCAGCAAAAGATTCTTGGGTTAACCTTGTTTCGCTCTCCAAACAAATTTGAACCAGAAGTCATCCACTTTCTTAAAAATCTCACAAAATCAAAAGGCATGAGAAAAAAGAAAGCAGGCAGTGCTGCAAAAATCTGTCCAGCATAAGAACGCATCCTCGTCTAGGTAGCCATCATTCACATCAGATACATGCCTAGTCGAACGCCAATTACTTGCCCCTTAACAGTTCTCGTAAAGTCTTAAATGGGCATAAACAGAAATATATAATAGGTAGTACCTGAATCCGTCTCTCAGTAAACTGTGGCATGTACCTTCAATATGCCCAAAACACAGTCCAAATAAATTCCTCTACTACACTTCATGTCCTGTAATGTGAGGGAAAGGCAAAGCTCAATACCCATGCCATATTTTACTATATATAGTGACAGAAAGAGGGAAACTTCTGCAGCTTATGTCATCCATATGCAAGAAAAAAACCCAAGAAACACTAGTCATCTCATTTCAGTATCCATTTGTCATTTGTTCTACGCCCACCTTTAATCTGTTTCAATGTAAAATTCCATTTTGAACTGCTACAAATACTTGACTCGTCCAATTATAAAACTCTGTTTCATTCTGAACTATACGTCAAATTTCGCACTTCAATTCGAGTTCCATTTGGTCAGCCACCAGCTTCACCAAATACTTCGACATTATTTGGTTGCATATGTTGTTCTTCTACATCAGAGCACAGCAACTAAAACATAGGCAGAACACTACTCATCCAATTTTAAAAAAATGATATTTACATCCATTTTAAGATCTGTCCCTTTTAATTGAAGCTAGCTTGATCTAGAACATTAACATGTCTGAGAAGTTGATTCTGCATCCATAACGATACTTTCATAACTTGGCGGAAAAAGCACTCTTTTTTGTATCATCATGTATCCATCTCTTAATACCCCTAAGAGCTCACTTCTTTTTTTATCTGCCAATCATCTCAAACTTTTCAATCCGTAAATATTGGAACTGTCTTTCTTTAATTCGGATTGCTGATAGCAAATTCACATCATCTATCACCCCAATATGCTTAAAACATATAGTTACTACACACATGTGTCGATATCAGCTTAGATGATGCATACGATATCAAATTTTTGCTACCAATAGGATTAGTAGAGCTGGCAGATCTTAATTCAACCCCACAACTACCTGATACCAACGATACTAGAACTCTGGTGATAGTGTAATCTAATTAGGATACTAGTTTCTAATTGAATTACTTAGCCACACCACATGATCCACAATATACACCTGATACCAGAAAAACTAACAGGAATCAACAGTTCATTAGGCAGCATGCAATCCAGCTTCCTCTGTTTTAACCACTCTTTCTGACAATATTTTCTCTAATGTCTACCTCAAATTCATGAATAACCAGCTACACAAACTCTGCATAATGGCACTAGTGTTTCTCTAAACCAATCTAGATTTCAGTGACACTTTGAGGTATACATTGAGCCCAGCAATTGTATAATTAATTCAAGATGTGTTGTAGACAAAACAAATGGTGTTCAGGCGAGTGGAGTCCAAATAAATTCTTGCAGTGTTCAAACATGTCAAATGCATGCAAGTCTTAACAAGAGAGATACATTCTAAACACAGTAATATTGTACAGGGAAATTAGTTTGTAACTTGTATAGAAGAGGCAAATGTGATCATGTCAACTTTTTCATCTTTGAAAGGAAATGCAGAGATTAATGATACCACCAGCGGAACCAATTGCAATCTTGACCTTGAATTTATGAGGTATTAATAAGAAGACCTGTCTCGCTGATATTACTCGCCAATTACATGGCCAAAATTGCCCCAAACTTAACTTCCAACTGTGCAAGTGATGTGTATTTCTAATACTTGCTTAAGTAAAGGCAAGTGGAGCATTCAGCTTAGTGAACAGCTTTTGAATTACACCCGTGCTAGTATTTAGTTCAACTTTAGACACAACATCAGCCCACTTTTCAAGTTTCAACAGTCTTTAATCAAACGACAAGTATGCCTGTTTCACAGCTTTACTTGACCAACTCATTAGAAAAAAACATATATACAAAGTGTTAAGTTGAATTGCCTACATACAGTATTCTTCTTCAATGATTACATAAACATTAGCAATGTATGAATTTGGACTTAAAGCATCCATTTTAGATAGGTTAAGATTAGAACCTGAAAAACTTTGTGCACGGCTTTGATTTGGTCCCTACACCACTGGGAAAGTTGTCCGAGTCTGTTGCAGAAAATTAACCATTTTTCAGTCAATCTTTTAGTGAAGGGGCACTTTTGAAACTGGATATAATATAGATTCAGATTTTACAGTATTGTTTCTCTCAATTTGTGTAGAATTATTTTGGTTCTTGCTATTGCTAATTAAAATAATCAATAATTAATATTTTAAACTATTTTAAAAGCGATGACTTTTTTAGTGAGAAATCGGTGCAGGATTTATTATCACGTTATGGAAGTAGAAGAAACTAGATTACTTCACAACTGGTCAGTATGCAAAATAGTGGATCTAACATTTATGAGCAGACAAACGAGCCAAATAGAAGACAACACAGGCTAGTAATGAAAGAAAACAAGATCAAATTATAATGATCTAAAAATCGCTCCATACATCAGAAAAGATTTGTCAAGGTCCAGATTTGTAATCACAGCGACAAACTGCGCCTAGTGAGGCTAAATAGTTATGAAAGACAGTTAAGGGTAGAAATACGGAGAAAAGCAGACCTTGCTTGGATTTCTTGTAGCCGTTGCCGTTAAAGCCGGCGTCAGATCTTCCCCTCTTCCGGACTCCTCCAAATTCCATTGCTAGAGTAAATAAGGTGGTAAAGATTCCGGGGCAATTAAAGGCGGCGACTGAAAGATAGTGGGGGACTCGTAGAAAAGTGTATCGGAACCCTAAATTCGTAAGTGAGCATCTGCGTTGTGAGGGATGTATATATAGAATTATAGATGGTACCGAGCACTGAAAAAATATTCCTTCCGTCGCAAAAGTCCAATTTTACTCTCAACAAATTAAGAGCTCCATAGGACTCAAATCGGGTGATTCCTATTAAAAGGCGAAGTAAATATCTAAAAAATTACAGATAGAATATTAATATCCCAAACTTTATATATAGATTTACGTAAGCAAGACATAAAATTTTCATCATAAACTATATGATCATGAACTTTAAATTAATATATGACCATGGTGTTAAATAACTTTTTATATAAAGTTTGAGGTATTTAAATTACACATGCAAGTTTAGGATATTTAACTCACACCACTCCAAAATTTGGGATATTTAAATTATGGAGATTTTGCTAGTTAAATCCTAGTTAAAGTGATTATATTGAGTGATTTTGCTAAGTTATGAAAAAATTATATTTCAAATACTACTTCGGTATTTGAAAATTCTCTACAATAGGTTTGGACACAACATTTAAGGGTGAAATAGTAAGGGTAATGAATAGTGTAGAAAAAGTAGGAGAGAATGTGGAAAATTATAAAAGAGAAGATAAAAAGTAGAAAAAGCAAAGGTAATTGAGTATTTTTAAAGGAAAAAATTAGCGAAAAGGGAAAGTGTAGCAAACTTTTAAATAAATCCAAAAAAGACAAGTGTAGCAAACTTTAAAATGCGGAGGAAGCGTGTTTTATTAATAAAATAAAGAAAAGTATATGAAATAGCTAAAATGATCCACTATAATAACTTCCACCAATTCAATCACAAAAGTAATTTCAACTTTACTTATTTTGGTTATTACACAATTCAAGTACGAAATCCAAAATTATGTGTTTGGTAAAATGTGGCTGATAAACGGTAATAGGGTCATCAAATCGGGCTCTAATTTTTGGAATGTTGTGACGAGTACTCATGACCTTCTGTCATTCTTCTTTTGCTACTTTTACGTGTGTCTACAAAATATGCATTCACCCGGTAAAAGAAACCTGAACCAAGACCGCAATGGGCAAGTATCGTGCACTGTTCATCACATTGTTGAAAACCTCAGCCATATTAGACGTTGTGGTACCGTATTTAAATCTCCCGTCATGGTGTAATGACCACTTTTTCAATGGAATGTTCCCTGGAAATTGTCGTGCCTCCACCCGTATTTCTCCTATCCAGTTGAACCCGCCATCAATTTTTTCCCTTATATTGCCATGTGGTCCAAACAAACAGATTTCTCATGTGAATTTCTTTGAAATGGGTGTGCACATTTGATGCTAGATGACGCATACCCAGCCTGTGATGCGCATATGGCTCCTCCCAACCACTCCTCGCCTCATTCACTGCCTTTAAAATATCGGGATGTCGATTAGAAATAACACACAATTCTCTTTTTGTGACAAACGCCCGAATGCAGGCCATGAACCATGACTAACTCTCCCCATTTTTTTATTCACATACTGCAAACGCCAAAGGAAAGAGTCGATAATGCTTAAAACCATAAATAGAAGGCTTGAATGCCCAAAAGACTATGAAAATGGACACACCCAGTGGAACCTGTAACGGGTGGGTACCACTGCACAATTGTACCTGGATTGAAATGTTGGAGCGCTGCCATGAAATGTGGCAATACTGACAGAATATGACTTCCCCAACCTCCAAATATTTCAGCAATGGCCTTTTGATTACCCAACCAGATTCATCTGTAGGGAACGTTATAACCTTATGTTTCCTTCTTCAACTCAATAATGTTGTGAACTTTAAGTGATGAATCGGTGCGAAGAAGGTCAATCACATCTTGGGCAAAAAATTCTGAAGTAATAGCCACATGGTCATCGCAATCATTGTTGCCAACACAACTCACACAGTGAGGTCCAACACTACGTACAACTGTGAACATCTCAAGGCCTGCATATCTCTTTGTGGCCCGTATTCTTCAAGTGCAATCACGTTCCTTTTTTCTCTTACACTCTACCACCCATTTATGTTTATATGTCTCCAGCACGCGAAAAAAATGGTTGTGTTTGATAGAATACAAGGTCACCATATGAATGAGTTGTTGTTTGTCATCAAACTGTTAACGGACATGAAATTCACCGTCTAGTGTGAACCTATTTACAGTTGTACCACTCCTCCACGCATCATCAAAGCCCGATGGGATATCACATATTCTGATATATGATTTAGTAAAGTGACTAAAACGGGGTAGTTGCGCTCACAATATCACCCTCCTCTTCATCTGATTTAGTTATCTCATCAGCACTCACATGTTCATCTACATCATCATCATTGCCATGGTCATCCAAAAATGATGCACCATTGTGAAAATACCTCACATCCTCCTCTACAGCCATATTTAAAATAGCATCATCTGCGGAGGCCGCTGCATGACACCGTACCCAGATACAACAAAAACTATGAGAACCACGGGAAGTCAGTTAAATAGATTATTGAAAAAACTGCATTTTATATACATAAACCTGCGCAATTTTGAAAATTTTATTTAACTGACTTTTCGATTGCACTTTAATATGAAATTCGGTGGCCATGGTCTACACTTCATGAAGAACATGCTCACAAAAATTCATAAAAAATTTCGATCGGAAGCCCCTCAAATGAAGGAGGCCTAAGATTACAACTTTTAGGACTACCTTACAAGAACATTTTCCTATATACACACAAAGGTAGATAAATAGATAGATCGATAGATTTAGGATCAAATAAGAACAATGTTTAACGTAAGAACGTGAGAACGCCACATTTACCCCAATGTGATGCACAATGGGGCTCACTCAATGCACTTTTTTGTGTTCGGCATAAGATTTACCAGAATGCCACCGTTATTATTTATATTGGCTTATTTTGAGCAAAGTCAAAATGTGCACCAGACGAGCTCTATTGTGTATCACATTGGGTTAATTGTGAGTGTTCTCACGTTCTCATGTTAAGCATCGTTCTCATTGGAACCACACCCTATATATATGTGTGTGTGTGTGGCGGTTCCAATGAGAACTACGCTTAACGTGAGAACGTGATAACCATCCACATTTAATACAATTTGGTGCACTATGAGGCTCACCTATTACACTTTTTAAACATTGTTCCAAACATGCCAACATCAAATAAATGTGGTGGCAGATTTATAAATATTTCATCAAAATGAAAATGTGCCACATATACACGCTATAGTGCATCACATTTGTTTAAAAGTGAGGTTCTCACGTTCTCACATTAAGCATGGTTCTTATTTAATACTAAACACACACACACACACATTCTATACCAAACATTATATACACACAATAAATTATACAAATAAATGTAATCATATTTATGCAATATTTTTGTTCATTATCATTACACTTGACAAGGCAAAAAATCCTACATTTGAATTCCTAAAACTTATCTGCCAACAAACCCTAACTTGAATTTAGGAGATGAAATGGTCTTTGGATTTACCTTGAAGAGATACACTTGGAGGATGGACTCTTGGAAGCCGGATTTGGCGTGTTTCATTCCCCATCACTGGTTCGCTAGCTTGGAGAAAAGCTTCGTTGCAGTAGATTTTGGGGTTTGCGGGGGGGGGGGGGGGGGGGGAGGGGAGGGGGGGCTGCTAGATGACGGGCCTATTTTAATTAGTAAGTCGCTCTTTGGGTGGACAACTTATAAGTCGCCACACAGATTGGCGACATTGACGTCGCCATTCGGGTTGGCGGTTTTCCTAAACCATGGTTAGCCCAACACTATATCCGTAAATAGTTTTAACTCGACCCTATTTATGTAAATACTTTTTAAATTCACATTATTTAGGCGGGACCCCATTTAATACTGTTTTGCAATGTGTTGTCATTATTATTTAAGGATAATTGAAATAAAATTGATAACTAAATAAGTAAAGAAGACTTTATTATGAATATCAATGAAGAAAAGTGATAAATTTATTTAGAGACTGAGTATGATCTACTTCACTATTGTCTCTATATCACAATAACCATCTCACATTCCCTTTGTATAGTTCAGATTAAATGATTAATTGTGTCACTTTTTAGAAATAAATTATTCCAAAAAGTAGTTATAGTACATTTTAATAAAGTGTATAGTTGAATTATAAATAACTTTCAATTTTTTTGTAGGGTGTACAATACACACATAACATTATTCATAATGTCGTATTAGTCCAATTGTGTTCAAGTGGATTGACCAAACAAGAGTAGACCTAACAGTACAGACTTCTATATCATAACCACACGAAAAGACACAATTTGCAACATTTGGAATAGTGCAATTAAAGGATTTCCAATTGCAATGAGATTTGACAATAAAGCACAATGCCGTATTAGTTCAATTAAGGTTGTGTTCGACAAGAATTGAACAATCATATTATGTGCATGTTTGGCAGACATAAGTCTCTGCCTTCTAGCTTTCGTACTGTTTGGCATAAAAAAATTCAAGAGCTTTTCAAAAAATAAAAGATCTTTTTTTAGATGTTACGTGGAGTAGCATCTGAGAAAAGACCGTGACCTTTAGTATTAATTTATCCTAATAGCTTGTATACCAAAAAGAACTATATCAAACAGTCGACTTTTTACCAAATAGTTACCACCTTTTTTCAAAGATCTTTCAGTCACTAAAAGCTAACAGTTACTTAAAAGCTCACAAAAGTATCTTTTCAGCTAATCGTGCCAAACATACCCTATACCAATTTTTAACAATCCATATCAAATCATCCAAACCAGATTACACTAGACTAGAGCAATGTGTACCATACCGTCGAGTCAAAAAAACTAAAATCATAATGAACATGTCATTATAATAATAATAATGTAATGTTATATAATGCTAGACTTATCAGGTTTGATCTACGACTAAAATCAATCGAACAACATACAACTTAAGCATTTAACCTTGACAACATTTAAAAAATTTATCATTCAATAAATTTGTCAGTTTTTATCTTAAAAACCCTCTATATATAAAAATGACTGCATTTAACTATCAATTCAGACAAAAATAAATTTTAGCCAAAGTTTTATGAAACGGGCGTGATTACTTTGTCAAAAAAAATTTATATTTAC